AATGGTTGCGGACCGAACATCGCAGGAGTTTTACTACCGAACGAGATCGAGTACGTGTGAAACATCGAGCACGGAAATATAAATTGCGAAGTGTGTGATATAAATAGGCGATATAAATTGTACGGTTTTTATAGTGTTTTAGTTTTGTTTAATAAATATTGATATAAATCGAACCCGAATTTATAAATAACGTTACAATAGGTCATCTGATTAAAAACTTAGGAAATCGTCCATTTCTCTGTTTTGAAGTGTACCTGCGCTTAATCCCTATGTATTAAATTTCATTTAAATGCTTCAGTAAATAAGGAAGTTGGCATTGCGCATAACCAAATTTTGCAACTGGTGTTAGATTTGTTTTTATGCCAAATGCCTATGTATAAAATTTCATTTAAATGCCTTCATAAATAAGAAAGTTGGCATTGCGCATGCGCATAACAACATTTTGAATATGTCGTCAATTTTACTTATATTCGTAGTGTTTACATATAAAGTTTCATTTAAATATCTTAAAGTTAGCATCCCGCATGCGTTAAACCAAATTTTTGACACGGTGCTTGCGCAAAACCAAAAAATATGTGTATGCACGGAATCCTTCGACCAAGCCCTTTCAAATGAGTCCTATATCGGCAAAATCGGTTCAGTGGTTTAGAAGGAGTACGCGTGACGGACAGACGGACGAACGGACGTCAAAGTGCAGCCAATAGCGATTTTTCACTTTGAGGAAAATACGCTAAAAATGAGATATATTCTAGCGCGTCAGATATTTAGAGCGATGTATGTATAATTTATGACACGACCGCGTATGATCTCAATCAACTGACTGATTTGTTCCACTTTGGCGTGTGGAAATCGGCAGATTATATTCCTTCTGTTATTCTTGAATAATTTCCTTCGAAATAAAAAAATTTCACTCCTTCCCTTCCCACTGCCTCACGTCACGCTCAAATCGTCAGATTATTGAAATGCACACTTTTCAACACGTAGTCAACCCACCTTACTTTAATCTAGCACGCTCAAGTAAATTCAAGAATCCCCTATTGGGTTTCTCCACTATAGTTATTGCAAATTGGTCACCCAATAAATAAATAAAGCACGAGCTATCCTTATGTTCACTTAAAAATCACGTCACCTCAACTGGCGAGTGTCTGAAACCGGAACCCAAATCTCAGAAAGTACACAGACGAATTTAATGAAACTTGGTATATGGATTAGTAATAACCTAAAACTAATTCCAAACGAATTAGGAACTCAGGGTAAACTGCCAGTGGTAGGGTCAAATCCTCGCCTGGGACGGACGTTCAATGCTAGTGGTTTTATATTACAGCGTTATTACCAATTATGTTCCCGATTTCGACTGAAAACATTACTAGATTAATGTGTTTTAAGACCACTTTAGTTGGTACCACTGGTAAGCAAAACCTCATAAAGTTGTGTTCACGTTGGTCTGGGTAGGTATCAGTTCTTTGTTAAGACAGTTATTGCCAGTGTTGTGTAATGGTCCAAATGATGACTGCCTCTTGAACTGACCTCCAAGATCTTCGGATACCAAACCCTGAGATTTTTTTCTTGTGGGACACATCAAAGATAAAGCTCCATTACCAGTAAGCATACCTGAAATCTTAGCAACGGCCTACTAATACCATCGAAACAATCGATCAAGGCACTCTTTGGGCAACAGCATGTTTATAGGCATCTGTCGTAGAACAAGGGGTTACCATATCGATAATTTATAATTCTGAGTTTTCTTAAAATGTAACCATCTTATTTCTTTGCATAATAAATAAAACTAATGACGTACCCTTGAAATCCTAAACATAATTTGTAATAACCCTGTATATATGAGTAGAATAAGAACACGGCTGAAGTATTTATTTTTTCTTCAGCAATCGATTTCGGGGTTACATCTCCATCATCAGGCTTAGCGTCGAAGTTATAATATGATGCATGAAACGTAAGATGGTGGTGACCAAATAAATATCTTGTTTGAGATGGAATTCCTCAAATCATACAACACAGCAATATATTAAATATAAGTAAATTAAAATTTGGGCACCACATGTTAAAGTTATACTTATTGTAGGTTAGTGTGGGGATGTAACCCCGAAATCGATACTAAAGAAAAAATAAATACTTCAGCCGTGTTCTTATTCTGCGCATATAACTGACTGAACGACTGACATGGAGTCATAAATTTAAACCCTGTATATATTATGTAACGGGAACTTGCTAATGTGTTTAAAATTTTTTTCAATTTTATTTGGGTTGTATTGACCATATAAAATTTCATATGTATCTCTTCGTGCGAATAGTGATCGCGATTAAGGTGATCAACGCCAACCAAGCGGGATTGGAAAGCGCGAGTTACGAGAAAATAGACGCGAGCCGTCAATTTTGCGTTGGTTCCATGTCGGAATTTCAGTACGATTATACATAAGAATACGACAATTTTTTTAGCGCAAAACAGCGAAGTTAAGAGACGCGCATCGGTCGCCCTAGCGTACAGGTCTGGCGAAAATTTCCATCGCGAAAGAAGCGAGGCTCTAAGAAAAGCAATGACAGTCCAGCCGAAAGATTACAGAGACGTTTGCTGTCTGAAGATGAAATACAACGAATGATATTTTGTGAAGTCTGGATAGACAACCTGGTGACGTTAATCTCACCAATAGCATTTGCTGGATCCGCAAAACCCAAAGATATGACAATGTCGTTTGAGATTTGTCACTTGCGATAAAAAGTAAACTGCAGTTATACGTTATACTTACAATAAAATACATGAAAACATCCGTTTCAATAGAAAGTTATACATTTTCAAATGGAGAACACGTGCTTGCTGTCCCCAGATTTTCAGCTAACCTGAAATTTTTGTAATTACATCTACCTACTCCAAAATGCACCATCACTACTCTGGTACATTAAGTTACATGAGCGAGTGAGCCTAAGTACGGTGTTGAGTTTGAATTGTGCGTTAAAAGGTTAAGGTGCCTTAGAGTCGTGAGATGTGGCGCAATTGTCTAAGGTTACAGGAAAATTTTAGTTTACACCACAATCGCCGCTATATGTTTTTTGGTACTATAAATAAGAGGGTGTAGTAAACGTTGACAGTCTTACCTGTCAACAAATTTGATTGAATGGTAAGAATTTTTTCATTTGTGCTAAAAGATTCGCGCCATACGGGGTGTCGGTCCCGAAACGTGAAGGGGTGGGAAAATATTCTCGAAGAAAAGTACAAAACCCGTAGAAATTGGTAGCGCGAGTTATGTTTTTTTGTAGCACACGGAACCGCATATAAATGTTGCAACCAAAAACAGTAATTCATAGAGACTCGCGGCGTCGAAATGACAACAAATTATAAACACTTGCGAATTTTTGAGTGCTAAATGCAAAGAAATAGTTTGGTGATATTCAATAATCGAGAAAAATGTCTCGTTAATTACCGACGGGATTAAAGAATTACGTAATTTACCGCACAAAATTGTATACAGGGTGTTACGAAATTCGCGCAGCAGCCTTAACTGTCTCTAAAATTCCAAAAAATTAACACATTTTCAATTAACACCTGCTGGCATTCTGGGTAGAAATAGAAAACTTTAGGTTGAAAACTGTTTTCTGAGTCATAATTTGGGCTCGATTCATCACAAAGTCAACCATTTACAGGCGAACAAATTTACTCAACATCTATAAATTCAGCTGAAAGAAAAAATATGGCACTGGGTAAAAAAAACATCCATAGAACAATTAATTAAAGAAATCATACGCATCATGCTACGCAAGTGTCAATAATCCAAAATCTCCGGTGGAACTGCGATTTACAACAAATGACGATTAGCGTTCGGTTAGCTTTTTAAAACCTGGCTCCTTTCCCTTTTTCTTCGTCCTCCTTCTTGAATTTATTAGAGCGCCGTCACCTCGAATATCTGCTCAATTCGGCGATAACACGTGCTTATCTTGAAACTAATTAACTAACGCAGCGATAAGAAAACTTTTATCTACGACCGGAGATAAACATGAGATAAACTTTTACACCAATACTACGCAAATTATTTCCAGATGTTCCTTATCTTACTAACAAAAAATGACTTTACAATAAAATAAAAAAGCAATTATTTAAACAAAATTATTTTATTTTATTTTATTGCGTTTATTTTATAGTGGGCGGAGTGTTAGCAATTGCTACTCTTCCCACTCAACCCACTATACAATCACAAACAGCCATACTTTACCTGGGATTCAAAATTAAAATTGAAATTGAAAAAGAGACAAATAAAATGTCCGCCTGCGGTAGTTTACACAACACTCAACAGTATATAAAAATCAATAGAATCAATCAAATTCACCCTGATTTAACATTAGTATAGGTATACAACATTCAGTATTTGTGCCCGTTACAAGTGAGGCCCATAGATACAATATTATCGGACGTCCTGTAGTTTGGAGTCGCTGTATGAATAAAGTACGGCGTTAGGTACTCGTTATTTTGTGTTTAGGTACATAGGGAATTTTAAATATCCCCATTTTTATTCAAATCTAACGGTTCTAAGCAGGTAGATTCATAGTGCATCATTGTGTAATTTTATTTCGTTTCATGCATGTGATCCAATTAACTCAATTTTACTGTGCGTTACCCAATTCAAATTAATGGATTGATTGGATAGCTTTTTGCTGTGAAATGGAAACTTCCAATCCACAACACGACGGAAATGTTCCGTAGAAGATATACCTGCAGTGAATGTAATTCGTAATAGAAACTAAACACTGTACTTATATATATTTTAATTCAGCTCGCGTAGAATAAACATATAGGATGGCCAAAGCAGAAATGGCAAACAAACACCGCAATTCTTCTTAACTTACAAAATACACAAAACGATCGAGTTAGTTAGGATCGGTGGTGAATAAAAGCGCGTCGGGGCGCACTCACGGGAAATAAAACTTCCTCTTCACAAATACGTATAATCTCATATTACATCAAATTTATTTCAATATAAATTAAACGAAAACGCTCAGTAGTTACACTTGAGATTTGTATTCGAGGTGGTTGATACAGAATTAGTATCCAGGCTCGAATATGAGGGTGGAAAACTATTGTCGTGAACTAATGCCTCGGATTTTCCCTGCACGAGCAACTGTTACGTGTTTAATTGAATAGAATAAGTTTGTTACCTTTCGATTTTCTAATTCCAACAGTAGTGGACAATATAAGATATTGAACAGTCCGACTATACGCATTAACCAAGCGAAACCGATCGAATGTACCGCTAATCCTCCCAGAAGTGGTCCCAGAGAATACGCCAGGTTTACCGATGTCTGTTGTAGTGCGTAAACAAGCCCGTAATGCGAGTTTTCTCGATTGTCCACTAAATTGGCCAGCATTGGAACTATTGCTGCGTCAATTGCACCTACTCCCAATCCTAGTCCTAAGTGTGGGATTGCTAGTTCGCGTATTGACGTAGCCAAGGGGATGGCACAGCAACTTAGGCCCGTTATTACCATTGCGCTAAGCGACATTCGCCACGATTCAAGAGGCAGCAACCCTAAATTAATATCTCACTTGTTGTCAAACCACAGTGTGGACTTACCCGCTAAATGAGATCCGAGAAAATACCCCACGCTGTCGGGTATAAAAACAGCACCCAACTGCCAGCGCGAAGGTGCCGGATTCAGCTTAGCTAGCAACCAGAGTGGCAGGCAGGGTTCTAAAATCGCCATCGAGGAAGTGCATAAACAAATTGCGCCAGTTGCGATAACAGTCTGCTTATCTTTAATTAGGCTAAGCCAATCATTTCGGCTCACAGACACTTGTTCTTCAAAACCGTACTTATCCTGCAAGCACCACACCTGCAAAACTTAAAAGCAAAACTAAATTAGTATGGTTGCCATAGCGAAATTCTATGGATTTATTTCATGGATGGATCCTAGATAGAAAGCTACCATGATGTCAGACTGGGCTCGTGGTAATTCTCTTTAAATACGCCTTATATACGTTTCATAACTTTGGATCTCCATAGGTGCGGTTGTCCGCAACTTAACTTTTTTAAGTACACTAAATGAAAGCCCTATTCATTCTCTATGCACTGATAAAAATGGGTTGCTATGACTACAACCGTTTTCAAGTAATCCATTTTCAAAGTGCCATCTGCATCCGTCATTTCTTTTCTTAAAGTTAAAATAACTTAAAAACCATTAATGGTAGATATCGACATGTTGATATCAAATGAACTGAAATTTCACGTAGAATCCAAAAATGTAATAAAAAATAGGGGTTGCCATTTAAAATAACGAAGTTACTAGCCACTTCCGGTATTTCGGCCTTCGGAGTAACTCCTAAGTAAAAATTTTTAAAAACCTACCTATTTTACTTTCCCAGAAACGTTTAACTAAAGCTCCCAAAAAAAACACCCTGTATAGTGTTTCTGAAACACTATAATGGCGCATTCTAAAATTGCATAAAAAGGTTTGGCGAACTTCGTGCCCTAATTAAGAAATTGTCATAAGGAGAAGATAATATTAGAACTCATAGAAAAAAATCCGGATTTCGGGTAGCGTAATTAAATAAATTAAACAAGTATAGCAAACGAGCTCCTGGGTATGGGTATAGCATGTGCAAAACCAAATTTTAAACCTGATATTAGTTTTGCTTTTATTTAAAGTGTATATGTATGAAATTTCATTTAATTGCTTCCATAAATAAGAAAGTTGGCATTGCACATCTTACACAAAACCAAGTTTGGAAAATGGCGCTATATTTGCTTTTATTCCAAGTGGCTATGTATCAAATTTCATTTGAATGCCTCTATAAATAAGAAAATTGGTACTGCGCATGCGCAAAACCAAATTTTGAAATTTGTGTTAAATTTGCTTTTATTCCAAGAGGCTATGTATCAAATTTCATTTAAATCCCTTTATTAAAGAAAGTTGGCAAATGCGCAAATCGAAATTTTGAAACTGCCGTTAAATTTGGTTTTATTCCAAGTGGCTATCTATCACATTTTATTTAAATGCCTCCATAAATAAGAAAGTTGGCACTGCGCATGCGCAAAACCAAATTTTGCAATGTATCAAATTTCATTTAAATACCTTCATAAATAAGAAAGTTTGCAATTCTGTCTGTAAATGGTCGAGATGCGCAAAGGGCACTGTGAATGCTGATCGATTAGGCTCAACTTTTGGAATTGTGTTTTATATGGCTAAAGATATGCGCATATTGAATTTCATGCAATTCGGTTCTTAACTAACGGAGATGTCAAAAGGGTCTACTTTACTTTTTGGCCTACATTGCCAATTCACGAACTCCGACCTACAAATTTGATAAAGAATCCACCTGCAAAATTTCATCGTAATCGGTCTATTCGTTTATGAGTTATCGTGCTAACGGACGGACAGACACCGCAAAATTATAAACTCGCTAGGAGCTTGTTAATAAAGAAAACTTAATCCGAAGGCGGTATCCTGTAAAAAATTAAGTGGGATAGTGTATTTTTCGCTTGTAAAAAGTTGGCAGTAATACACACTAAAGAAGACCCCAACGATTCGTTATCCTCAAAATTTTTCCCGGAGCCTCAAACTGTAAGAGAATTTGAAGGCAGCATTATAAATAGTTTTTCCATTGTACAGCAAAACCGAGCTCATCAAAGATCTGACGGTAAACGTCAACTTCAAGGAACATTGCCGATCATGTTTTATTTAGTGGTAACCGCAACTTGATATCACATCTGATTTTCCAATCGATCGCTTTAGATGCACCACTCTGTATATACATACACCGTAGCGTCCTTTAGAAAATGCATTGTGGAGATTTACACTAAAACACCTAAAAAGGTTTTCGCTCTAAGGTGAGTAACTTTTAGCGAATTTTCCATGTATTTATCAGTACTTCTCAAAAGGCCATAGCTATGTGCGCTATGTTTTTCTTTACTAGAGCCATCTATGGTTAAAACTTCAAAGAAAGAACTCCATGTTTGCACATGCGCACATTTAATTTATGCGCACACCTATTGTTTACAATTTGAAATATATGATTGCCTTGAATAGGAGCATCTGTGATTAAAATTTCAAATAAATATCTGGATATCTCGATCGATATAACAGTTGATATTGCGCATGCGCACATTAATCTGATGTATCCAATATGCGATGCGTTTGCTTTCACTAAAGCACATTTGGTTAAAATTTCAAAGAAATATATCCATACTAAAAGAGTTGACATTGCGCACATTCGATTTTTACTATATGCGATGTTTACCTTTTCTAGAAGCACAGATTAACTACTTAACTAGTTAATCCGTGCTAGAAGTATCTGTGGTTAAAATTTCAACAAAATATTGCTGTGTTATTTTGTCTGGCAGGACGAAATTTTGGGATTCTTAACTAGAATGGACAAGGGCGGTTTCAATGTAATTAATTTTCATAATTTAAATTTTTGTTTTGTGTCGTTCCTTAAGTACTTCAACAGATATTATTGTTACGAAAAAGAGGTCAAGGTTTGTATTTGTTTACATTTTAATCTCATCTTTAATTTTATTTAACGTAGATTTCTGAGAATTTTTATATCGCTTTTATTCTGTTATCATTGTAAATGCTTAATTTAATTGACAGGTGGATGTTATTTATCGCCTTTTCATTGTATTTAAAAGATAGAAAATTCTATTTTTCCCGGTATTTTAATTTTGTGTTATCTCTTAATGTCGGTTAAAAATTGATTATAAAAATAATTTCTACCTCTAGTTTAACTTACGTTAGTGGGGAAATTTTCTGTTGTCAACTGCTTACCATTGGCTTGTTTTAATTTGTAATTTTGGAAGAATGGTTCCACCTTAAATAGAACGGACTGAGAAGAGGAAGGGCTTTTTGCCAAGTTTAGAGCAAAACTACGTTTGTTGGAAGTTTTGTTTAGGCTTTTTGCCAGAGTCAACGCAGAACTACGTTTGTTTGAAATATAAATCGCTTTTTGCCAAGTTCAGAGCGGAACTACGTTTGTTTGAGTTTGAAATCAGCGTTTTGCGAGTTTGAAAGCAGATCCACATTTGCTGAAGTTTGAAGTTTTGTTTTGGGAGTTTTGAAGTTTTTATTGTCAGTATTGTTGCCAGTCAGGGCAGTTTTTGAGTTGAGTGAAGATTGTTTATTTTCGCTTCGGCGAGTTACCGCAGTAATTTGGATTGTGTAGAGGCCAGCCAGCATTGGAAGTTGATGGAGTTTCCGTTTTACGGAGTGGCAAGCAGAGTTGCGGCAGGTTTGAGTTGTAGCAGTTTTGGAAGTTTGGACCTTCAGTAAAGTGCGTCACCAAGGTGTGGTCGGCGCCGACTTGAGTGTTTTTTTGTGTAATTTTGAATTTTGTTGTTTTTTTTTTGTGTACCGTATATGGGATTAGCAGTTTTGGACATGTACCGAATGTAAGTAAGATTAAGTTTTAATTTTAGTTTTTTTTCTTTGTAATAATTGTTTGTTTTCCTTGTTGTTTTTTTTATTGTGTATCCATTAAAACTGAAATTTGTAATTCTCACATTAATTTCTGTGTTTGTCTTTCGAACGATTTCATTTCCTTTAATTTACTGTTTTCTTTGAATACTTGCCGAAGGTCCATTTTATTTAATCAAAATTCTTAGGATTGATTTGGAATTTAAGGTATTTGGTCTAACTCACTATCTGGTAGGAGTTAATAATTTAACTGAGAAAAGAGTCGAATTCCTCCTCTGTGCTGGGGAGAAGTTTTGTTTCGAGGAAGATAAAGGTTTGAGCTAGCTAGGTTTGTATAGGTGTTTTGTGTACGGTCTCTTTGGCCTACGGACCGGTGCACACAGCAATATATAAAAACATAAGAAAGTTGGTTTTGCCTGCGCATAATCGTCAAGAATTTTCTTGCTTCAGGTGCCAGAGCTATAAGCTACCGAATTAAAAAAGAAACGAACTGCATATATTGAAAATTGTAGGTGAAGTTAAGGCCGCGGAAGGACGGACAGAGAAAGTGGCTGCAATTCAACTTGGAAAATGCGTTAAAAAATAATAAAATTAAAAACTTTTCTAGAGAAAAATTGTAAACTGAGGAAGAACTTAATGGCAAATCAGAGATAGAAAACATATTTTCAGCACATTTTCCAACTCATGTTGGAAGGTGCTATTATGGCCACTTTCTTCGTCCGTCCGCCCTAAGCCTTAACTACTCCTACAGTTTTCAAAATATTTAATTAGTTCTTTTTTTGCATTCGGTAGCTTATAGCTCGGGCACCTCAACCAAGAAAAATCCTGACCACTAATGTGCGCATGCGCGGACTGCGCAATGTTAACTTTCTTATTTATAGTGACATTTTAACCACAGATGCTTCTAGTGAAGACAAGCATATCGCATATTGTAAAAATCAGATTTATGTTACTATTATTATCACCTTTTTTTACTATAGTCTAAAGCATACTGGACATGGAGACACACACTCTTGCCCCCCCCCCCTCTTTCGTAAATACGTAGCTATAATATGGGTGTAATATAGACGGAGGGTTGACAAAGAATGAATGTTTTAAAATTCCTAGACGTCAGAATTTGTGGCACCAATTATTCCATTTCCGGCCACACGAGATAATTTTGTAAGTATCTACTTCATGAGTTGTATCCCGAAATTTTGGTTTTTTCTAAGTTATAACAAGTAACACGCACTCGCAGTGCGAACGCGAAATGACGTCTGACACCATAGTTTTTCCTAATCCTGGACCCGTTACCAAATGAAATCCACACAGTATCGTGGTGGCGCTAGGATTACATACAGAAGCATGCGCAGATATTCAATTAAATACAAAAACCGCCAACTTTACGTACCGATATTAAACGTGATCAAGAATGCGATCAGAAGAAAAGGCGCTGATTTCCCCAAAAACTGATAGGTAGCGCCTCCGAGTGGATAACCTACCAAAACTCCCAATGCGATTCCTCCGAATGCCAATGGCATGATTTTTGCTCGAGTTTCCTTTGGCACTGTTTGAGCTAATAAACACATGCCGCTCACCGAGATCGCAGCCGATGCGCTACCGTGGAGTGCCCTGGCAAGCACCAACACTCCGTACGAATGTCCGTACGCAAACACTGTAATATCTGCACTAATTCGTGAGAGCAAACAAGTAACTTACGCAATGCGGCGAATAACATATTGCAGGATCCTAAGAGCAAGGGTAAATTAAACCCAGTCGTTGCCGTGATGTGACCAATAAACGGAGTAAAAGCGAGCTGTACAAAAGCTTTAGATGCCAGCAAGGCGCCCAACGGACCGTTGTCTTTTTCCAAGTTCTCGAATTTCCGCTGCAAAGGGCTAAGAGATTTTATTCCTAAATGCCGATCGTCTTCGACGTTTGATACGTTTATGTCACTCGAGAACAGATAATCGGGTATAATGGGAACTAAAACAGCTCGAATAAGCGTAATTTCGTGCATAAGTGACTTACCGACAACGGTTAATAGCACATTGTCCATTAAAAACGACAAGTAAATAACGACAAAGACGGCGATTTTTGAGTTTCGTAGTGAATACAGGAACTGCAACATCCTGTCGAGAACTGAACAGAGTGTGGAACGCATCTGGTTTTATCTTCGAAAGGGTGACAATAATTTGCGGTAAAGTGGGTGCTTGATGAGAAATTTACCGCATCAGTAAATTTCTATTTACAAGTTCGTTATCGCGAACCCACAGGTTGCGATTTCATTTTAGGAAAAAGAGAACTTCAACGTTATTTATATGATTTTTATTTTACAAAGACTACAATGTGTGTATTTATGTTATAAGCGTTGTAGGAACAAGTTGTAAACTCAGAATCGTGTAACTTTATCTGTATCGGGCGATGGGGGTCTTACGAATTGGAAGTCTTCTTCATAGGCAGTAGGCAAGGTCGAATATACTTCTGGCTGAGGTAGGGGAGGAGCGGCCGGTGGGCCACATCTTGCGGTGATGGCAGCAATATTGATGCAATCGTAGATGGGCTGAAAAAATAAAGTAGCTGTAACAAAGCTGATAAATCAACTACTTTTATGCCCCTTGTGTGTAGGACAAGGACAAATATTTTGGAGGCAATAGGTATATTTTTGTGTGCGGTTGGTTAGCGCATATGTATACCTAAATGGCAAAATAGTTCAGTTAGTGAAGTCACATGAAATTTGGCACATATTAACATAATTAACAAAAAAAAAACTAAATGTTGACATTGACGGATTGGCCAAGAACTTCAACCTGAGCTGCTTCATTAAGCAATCTTGGTTGCTTTCTTTTTTTATTGATAACAGATCCCGTTTCTTCGAATTTAGTGACCAAATCTTGAACATGAGGCCTGGCTTAATTTTTACTTTTTTTGTTAATTATAAAATTTTTGTTAAATTGTCTTAATGAATATTAACTTTATTGGTACCACTGGAAAGCATTTTTCAGTAGCTTTCCAACTATGTGTCACAAGTATGGGGTTGTCATTTAGGATGTTTGAAGGGGGGGGGCTGGGGGGTTAAGAGGGGAGGTGGGGGGTTGTCACTCATAACGTCATTCTGGTTCCCCCTCGATACCCCCGAAACGGTTTTGCGAGATTTTCAATATCTTTGGAAAATATGGCCGACTGCAAGTTTTAAAATTGATACCCTGTATAATGATATTTATAAATTTAACAAAAGGTTACAACATTAACATATTGCAAATAAAAAACATTTTAAAAAATTTACCGTATACTTAAAATATAACAAATTTCATTAAATGCTGTCCGTGTCGGTGGAGTGCCTAAAATACAAGCGGCATTTCCCTGCTGAACAGCTAAACTGAATCTTTGTTTTAAAAATTCAAAACAACGTTTTTCTTGAGTTTTTTCAAAACTTTTTTTACAAATTTCTTTTCGTAAAATCTAATTAATTAATTAAGGTGTTTTTCACGATAGAAATCCAGGTGTTAGTTTATTCGAAGACGCGCAGTAATTTTGATTGGTGCATGTTTGATAAAATGATAAATAAGTAGGAGCTGAACTGCTGGAGGAATAGAAGGGAAGTCTCGTTAACAACGCAAAACAGACGTTAAACGTGGCTTTTTGGTCAAGCTTTTTTCTGAGACGAGAAGAGACCAAGTCAAAGTCTCGTCTCGGCCTGGTTCAGTCTCGTCTAGTCTCGTTTGATTTCGCCATACTACCCAAAAATGGTGCAGAGCATATAAAAGGCACCACGAGGGCATGATAAATAATATTGATCTTGGTCTTGTCTCGGCGGCATTACTATTGGTGAGTATCCGGTTGAAAGACAGGCAGTTCTTTTGCAAGCTTTTTGGTTAGCATTTTTGTGAAAGATAGTCTTGGTAGTTTACGAAGAAGTAGAGTGGGTTTGGATCTATCGAGCAGTCATTGCGTAAGTGAGGCCTAGGTTACTATTACATTTAAAATTACATCAAAGCCAATGTCGTTTAAATCAACAGTCAAGAGAAAGTAAAGAAGTGAAGTTTCCTAAGCAATATCAATGGCTGTCTGTGTTTGTGCGTCTGTTTAGAGAAAATCGTTATGACTGGATTATTAACTTTAAGATAATTAAAGCCTTATTTCAATTTAATTTTTTCCAATCGATCGCTTGTGCGTGGTATTTGTCTTCTGGTCCGAGTGCCTTTCTTTCTTACAGCATTATTGATTGATTTTTGTTGAAAAAATTTGTGTCTTGGGCTCGATTAAACACAAAGCTAATCATTTACAGATGAAACAGAATCTATACGACAAATATGAAACAGTAAATCTGAAAGAAAAATACACTCTCCACATAACACACACCACGCACCAGCGATCGATCGAAACAATGAAGGAAAGTTCCAATTACCTTAAAGTAAATAAGCTTTAATATCATGTCAATACTGCGATTCATTTTAAACAGACGCACTAACACGAAACACCGGGTGATATTGCTTCCAATACGTAATTTCTTTACTTCACTTTTTTCTCGATTTTAACGACACTGACTTTGATGTAAATTTAGACTTAATTCTGGCTTTTTTGGTGGTCAAACAGGTAATTTGGACAACCTTCTAGAAAAGCTTCCACTTATTCGAAAAAACGCACGATATACAGGGTGTTGCATGACCGTATGTAATAAAAATTGGGGATAGAGGAAATCAAGACAAGACTTTTTTCAAATAAACCGAGGGTCCAACGTGTTTCGTTTGGGAGTCACCCCCAAAGAAGTGGTGAATTTTGGACTTCTTCTTTAATTTTTTCTCGGCAACCATAAGAGTTACAAAGATGGGCGTCTTTGATAGGTTTCCGGGTATGCCCTATCCGATTTTGAAAAAAAAATTTCAAAATTCCTACCACGAACCACCTCCCCGGGGGTGCGAAAAAAATTCTGATTTTGACGAAATTTGTTGTGTACATACTTGATGAGCTAAGGAACAAAATTGTCGAATAGTTTTTTAAAATCACTTTTCAAACAAAAGTTATACTCATTTGAAAATTAGGCCTTCGGGTTACAAAGTGTCCCCCGCCTACTAGTGAGTGATCTAATTTCGCATGTAGTTAATTGAAAATGTTGCAAATAACAAAAAATAACGATTTAAGTCGATATTTTTTTTAAAAACGGCCATGTAGCAGTAACACCCTGTATTTAACTCAAACTAATCCTTCGTCGACGTATTAGTAAAATCTCTTATATCACGCAAATTACTTCGGCGTGTAACGTAACACACACTTGAGCTTAACTTTATTCTGCAAAACGTTTTGACTACAAAGGACAGACTGTCTTTTCCAAAAACTAACACGGTTACGGAGAACTGCCATTTACTACAAATGCACCCACTAAAAAGCAACGTAATTTAAATTCAATGCACCACCCAATGCAAACACTAAAAATGTTGACGGGACATCCCGAGGGGCATCCTGTATATAAGAAATTTTTTTTGTAATTGTTTAGTTTTCGTTTTAATTTTATCGTGCTTGTTAATTATTTAGTTTAGTCAGTTTCGTCATTTTTTAAAATAAATTTGTGCAGAAACCTTCCAGTTACACTAAAATTGACTGACGACCATCGAATGTAAATTCAGGATGTCTGGATTCAACTATGAATTTCACTTGAAGAGTAGATCGCTACATGTTTCATTGTCAGGATATGCCAGGATACCTTTAACTTTAAAAATTTGAGTTTCTCGAAACATTCATGGTAGACGAGCATGCGTACGAAAGGTTTTTCCTTTAAAAAAAAAATATTAAAAACGTTTCACACCTGTAAAACACTGTTGCGGTAATAAATAAAAATTGTTCTTGCTTGTAACTGTTAAAACCCAAGGATCAACCGTTCGAATAAATTACATCCCAATGTAATCTCCGTTAGTTAATCTTTTACAATCTACATCATTGTCGTTGTAAGGAAGTTCGTCTCCAGCTTAATTTTTGTATAAACACTTACACGTTAACAAAGGCCGTCTTGTTATCTTGTATAAGGTATATTCCATTTATGTAAGCTTAAAGATTTGAATCTTTAAGAAATTGAATTTTTATCAATATATCTAAATTTTTTGGTCCTTTGCGTTTGATTTCGAGAGCAGACAAGCTATAAAAGTAGATTTTGAAGGCAATTTTCATAACATTAGTAAAACAGACAGTTTTCAGTTGTAAGTTACAGTAAGAAATTCATGTTAAAGGCTAGCCGGAGCCATTTTAAATTGGTCAACCCTTTTTTAATTTCAATACACCTATTGCGCGGGAGTCGTAACCCCCCCCCCCGAGCAGAGAAGGGGGCTACCATAAGAGAAAGCTAAGGTGCCAAAAGCAAGAGTTGGGAGGGGGGGCTAACTTAACGTTTTTAAAAGTTTTTATAAGCTACATAAAAGATAATTTTATTTTTAATTCACTCAAATTTGGTTGCCTCCTGGAAAACTCTCGATCAAAAGCACATGATAAAATCGCGACAGCTTTTGATCTCTAGTTTTTTTCCGTTGCAACAAAACTTTCGTGTAAAAATAAAATTATCCAATCAAGCTCTTGTGTATACATATACCCCCGAATATCGCCGGAGAATGTAAAATATTACCGAATGCGAAGTAACTAAATTGTTCTTCGTGTCTTGGTTGCAATTGGGGAGTATGTGCAAAATCTTCATTAATTTACAAATTTTGTTGGGGATGCATGAACAAAGTTTCTCTCGTCTCTTCGGTAGGTATTTGTATATAGTAGTCGCTACTCAAACTCAAAGGCAAAACGGTAATGTGATTCATCGATCATGATGATTTTTGCAACAGTCATGCAAAATTCAGTGCTAATCAAAATGCAAGAAATGAGGCGGATATTTAAATCTGAAAATGTTTTATTTTTATATAGTTGTGGGAAATACGAACGCTTCTCGCACATTGATTTCGACGTCACGTACATTATTAACGATAAATTAGGCACAATGTACGAAAATTTCGTAACAGTCGATCTTTAATTCAGGAACATACCTGCGTGCTTGCCCTGTAGACATCCACGAGACTAGAATTCGCTTGAAGAGAAGGTAACACGCTGGTTAATCTATCTCTTGTGGCTGCAACGGTCATCATATACGTTCTTGGAATGAAAATGGCACCCAACAGTATGCTAGCTGTTGAGACTAATCCAAGACACAGCATCGGCTCCTTCCATTCTTGATCGAAAACCGCGTATCCCGGTATCCAACACGACCAAACGCACGCAATAATTGAAATTGCAACAGTGAAATATTTTCCTTCCTTATAATTTCGTTGTGATCTCGTATTTAATGGACAAATAAATAAAAGCAGGACTAACAAAATAACGTTATAGCACATTAAATAGACGAAGGAGATGCCGTGGAAGACGTCTTCGCAGTGGCTAACAAATTGTAAACTTAACGCGCCTTGTACACCAAAAATAAACAACGTTAAAAATGACTGGACCGGACCCGCTACGTGTGCCATAAAACCTACTTCTTTGGAAATCGTTGCCAGTAAAATACTCCGCGATAGCAGCACAGAAAATGCAAATGCGTATGTTAATGTAGTGGACAATGCCTTTACGACGCACAGGTAACCTCGTGCTTCTTTGTCAGTGTCAATTGCGAAAGGAATTACCGAGCAGTACATCAATACGACCGTTACTAATAGTATTATTGTCAAAGATGGATTACCTTCGAATATATCATTCTTACAAAATCTTACTACAATAAAAATGAAAACAGCCAAGCAAAGTATAACCCCTAAAAGCGAAACGGCCAAAAAAGCGTAAACCCAAGAGTCCGTCCGTAACCCAAATTTACTAAACGCGTACGATATTAAAATCCTCTTCGGCGGAGCTTTCGGTACGAAATTTGCGCATTGATATCTACACATTTGGCATACCGGATCTCTGTCGAACACAACTGATGTGTTGCCATCATTGGCGCTCACCAAACTTTTGTTAAACAGAATGTAGGTGAAAATATGCGTAAAGTATTGCAAATAATCTGCATTATAGGCCACGTTTAAATCGTTAATTAAGGTCAAATTTTCCACTCGAAAAATATTGTATGCAAAGCCATCGGGCGCCTGTTCAACATTTAAAATACTTAAAACGTGAAAGGGGTCAAGTTTGGCTGAATTATCAAAATGACGTCGGCGAGTGTTTCGCAAGCATGTCAGTTTATCGCCCGTTTGATTGCAACTTCCGACCGCGACCTCCGAAATTCGGGCAGCTGCCTGTACCAGATGATTTGCTATGCTAAAGAATATTGGCGACGGATCGAATTTGGTGTCGTTCATAGTTTCTGCGAGAAGAGGCCGAATCACGTAGCTTCCATCTGGAAAATCTGAAGCCAAGGTGAGTGCCTCTACAAGTTTCTCACTTACCGATGTTGAAGGATGAATCTAACGGGACAAAAACCATTTGAGTGTCGTTGCATTGAGTAGAATTGGCCAAAAACGCCTTGACGGTTTCCCGCCTCGACACTATAACCTCAATTCCATTCGTTGGCTTTTCAATTCTGCTAAGTTCCCTGTAAATAGCTTGTTAGTAAACCATTTGCCACAAGGAACCCTACTTTAGAACATGTCCATTTTGCACACAGATGTTCGCGTTTTTGGTCAACGAATAAAGTATTCGAAGAACATTCTCGTTCTCTGCATAAATTGTTACATTCGTGCTTGAATCGAACGTCAATAAAAATTTAACGGCCGCCTCGAAAATCCAAATTTGGTAGCTGTCGGTGACGACGAAACGAAGATCGAGGGCGTCAGAAAATCTTTTCGAATTTTTGGAAAGGGGGTGGTTGGAAAGAGCACCCACGAGTATCCCCGTCTCCTCCTCCTTGAATATCTTGTAAATCGCGTCATAATCTTCTGCTTCTGAGCACGTTTGATAAACTGTTAGCCCAAAATTGAAAGGCGACGTGAAATTTAATTTGTTCAAGCGGTCGGCGGTCCAAATTGCCGAGTTTATATACGTCCAAGATTCCGGATTTATTGGCGAGCACTCTTGAAGCAACAACGCGAAGTTAAGATCTTTTTTATTGTCATACACTTCATTAACACCACAAACACTTGTACCACTCGCGATTAGAACATTGGCTAATGTAAATATTATTAGAACGAAACGCATTCTTTTAAAATACAGTTGGTGTTAAATTCATTATTATTTCAATTTTTCCGAAATTAAACTGTGCGACGAGTCAGCGCAATAATGTCAGGTACCTACTTCCTGGGGTACTTCCGTTCGATGGTCGAATGCACAATAGTTGTTATTCACTAAATGTGTTCAAGTAAAATAATTGTTTAAATATAAATATTTTACATGTAAACAAGTTAAACTAATCCACTACTATAAACTAAAGAGCCGTGAGTCACTTTTTTCACCCCGTGTTTGTATATGCCTTAGCAACGGGATCAATAAGGGTATATACACAAATGAGGAAATGTTCCGATACCCGCATTCACATGTGACCTAGAGATAATGTGATTTAAATAAAATTATAACATCATGCATAGAGAAACCTTTTAAGTTGCGTGTATTAAGGGACGGTCGAACTGGTATCAAATTTCGAATGAGGAGAAGAAAAGGTCGTTTCAATTTCATTCCGATCAATAACCATTACACTAAATGTAGTAGTGCATTTCAGTAATCCCCTCGAAATTTACAAAAATACCGAAACGTGCATCAAAATGTATTTAGTCCTCTAAAGTAAGCGCTTTCCTTATGTCTCTGTGGACAGGCAAAAAATACATACCTGCATCTACCTGGCGCAGATTTTGTGACAGTCATTTGACGTAAATTTCAAACCATTTGATCTCTACGGGACGTTTTTTGAGTGGAGTGGCCATACCTCTATTGTCATTGAAGGTGGCACTTTCTTAAAACATTTTTTCAATGTGGAAGATGGCATCGCAAGTTGTGTGTTCTAATAGAGAGTGAATTCTACATTTTGTATAAATAATCTTGTATTTTTTTATTATCTATTATAAAGAGCGATTCAAAATTCAGCGTCATAGTTGGCGATGCTAAGGTGTTTATCGTTAATGAACATTGAACCTCAATACAGTTGTCACACGGACCTGTCAATTTGAAGCATTAGGCTTCTCTCACAGTAAATGCGCAATCGCACGAAATTTGCACGTTTACGCTCGGAGATGCACGTATATCCGAACAGCTTGGTATAGGTGCACCATCGCACATTAGCCCCGACTCATTCGCTCTTATATGCGCGTGTAGTTTCGCCCTCCGTTTGCAACCGTTCCCGCCAAAATATAGTATTTATAACAATATAAGTATTTTAATTATTTTTGTTACGTCCGAAAGTTCTTATCATTTAGAAGACGAGGACAAATTAATATTTTAGAATTTCAGTCACGTAAATCCACTTTTAGCAGGTTTTTGTATCATTTGGATTGTAGATTACGACGCGTGTTCATGTTCGGTGCTCGTGCTTGGTGCTCATATATGTTGCTCGTGCTTGGTGCTAATGTCCGGTGTCCGTGCTTGGTGCTCATATGAGTTGTTCGTGCTTGGTGCTCATGTGGGATGCTCGTGCTTGGTGCTCAGGTGGGTGTTGAGACACATTTACACGTATCCAGTAGCTGGCGCCAGTCTCACTGGCCAGCCAATTCTGGTTCGTAAGTTATGACAGTGAGATAGCCAGAGATAGCGACTGACGCCAACGTGTTCAGACGTTGCCTGCAACACTGGCGGAATGTACGAGGTAAAGGGTTGGCAGCTACTGGCAAGAAAATAGACGCGCCGTCTATTCGCTCCCGCGCTGGACTGGCACGAAAAAGTATTCACCCGATTCCAGTCCCGGCAGGCCAGTGAGACTGGTGCCATCTACTGGATACGTCTAAATGCGCTATGTATCAAATGTGATTTAAATAGAGTATACCGGGTGGTGCACGGTAAGTAGGAACATAGGGATTTAACATGGGAAATTATTTTTAATATCCTGCCCTTCTGTACATTTTACAGAAGAAACTGTAGAGTTTAAAGTTGTTCAAAATTAAAAGATGCATACAACTGTTTTTACATGTTTTATATATATTTTAGCTCATCGCGAGTTTATAATTTTGCGGTGTCTGTCCGTCCGTTAGCACGATAACTAATAAACGAATGGACGGATTACGATGAAATTTTGCAGGTGAATTCTTTATCAAATTTGTAGATCGGAGTTCGTGAATTCGCAATTTAGCCCAAAAAATAAGGAAGGCTCTTTTGACATCTCCGAACCGAATTGCATGAAATTCAATATGCGTATAGTTTTAGCCATATAAATCAATTCCAAAAATTGAGCTTTCACAGTGCCCTTTTCGCATCTCGAGCATTTACAAACCGGATAGCAAACTTTCTTATTTATGAAGGTATTTAAATGAAATTTGATTCATAGCCACTTGGAATAAAACCAAATTTAACGCCAGTTTCAAAATTTCGTTTTGCGCATGCGCAGTGCCAACTTTCTTATTTATAGAGGGATTTAAATGAAATTTGATACATAGCCACTTGGAATAAAACCAAATATAACGCCAGTTTCAAAATGTAGCGCCATTTTTCAAATTTGGTTTTGTGCAGGATGTTCAGTGCCCACTTTCTTATTTATGCAAGCAATTAAATGAAATTTCATACATATACACTTTAAATAAAAGCAAAACTGACATCAGGTTTAAAATTTGGTTTTGCACATGCTATAGCCATACCCAGGAGCTCGTTTTCTATATTTGTTTAGTTTATTAAGCTTTTGGTATACTCGCAAATGTTGCCGATGTTCGAAAAGCCGTTTTCCGGCTGTTTAATGTATCCTTTGGAATGCTAGAATGCGTAGTGGCACTCGTCATATTGCCAGAACGCGTCTAGCGAATCCCCCATTAACCGATTTTTTGTGTCTTGGTAGAGATAGACTTGCCCCGAGGCTGTTGTGCTTACTCCTAATGAATCTGGACACTGTCACCTTGGTAGGTAATAAATTCAAGTCAGCTTTTACCTAATTTTTAATATATTAATTTGCTAATTGCCGAAATCATATATGTATAAACCTCTCGCCAGGAAAGATTGCCGGTCACAGAACAGTTGATCCCGGTCTACAATCTATATTTTTCTAAAGATGTGAGTGACTTCCGGGATAGTATCGTGTCAATGTTGAACAAAAAGGCTTTTCGTTCAACATTGGCACGATCCTATTCCGGAAGTCGATCGCATCTTAAGAAAAACATAGATTGTAGATCGGGATCAAGTGTTCTGTGACCGGTAATCTTTCCTGGCGAGGGTTATAGAGATTACGCAAAACGAAAAAAAGTCGCGCAGGAAGCAGGAAGGTTATAGTTTGTAGAAACCAAGTCATTTCGATGAAACCTTTCATTAGAATACCATGAAGGATAGAATGTGTATTTACTCCCTCTCCGTCCACCATTTTCAAAATTTTGACATGACATCACTAGATGCATGTGCATACAAAATCTGAAACAAATTAGTGGTCCCACATTTCTTTTAATTCTTAAAAAATGCGCTAAAAATGTTATTATCTTTTAAAATTACTATAAACACGAAACTTTAATTTAGTGTATCTCCTAAACTATATAAGTATATTAGGGTTGAAGGTAATTTTATACACTACAGTTTTTAATAATGGATGATTTTATCTAAGTATTATAGTTGGTGAATTATTTTTAAAAAAACGAAAAAAGACATTTTTGCAGATTTTTGACCACAGAAATTTCTCCCGACGTCAGTCGCATTGGCAAACTTGGATTTTTCTCTCTTTACTATTTAAACAAGTTTGAAAAATAAAATCTTCTACCGGACCTTTTGTAACCATTAGCATTTTTACGTCTAATTTTACTGGACGAAATATGTAAATAAACTACCTACTAATTTACGACCTGCGTTAATTTTACTATGACGTCATAAAGTGTGACGAAATATTCAGCAGCAGTGAATCCTTTGAATCAAAGTATAATAAACTTTTATTTAAAAACATTGACAACTTTCATTCTCATCGATTTTTTATCTGTTATTATTTCGTCGTCCTGGAAACAAGGATAGTTAGTAGCGGACTGCATGCTCGCCACAAGTTCGTAAAGATTGTGTACGGAAAGATGCGGAGGTCGCGTTTGAAGATGGTAAATTGGACTTTCCCTGCCTTGACGATTGCGGAGTCTCATTTTAGTTGACAGTTTTACAAGCTGTGATGTTTACCCACAAAATGTTTTCGGTCATCGCTTCAAAGAAACAAGTCGAGGAAGTAAAAGCGGCCGGAATTGAAAATTTGGAAACTTGTCTCTTCTGTGAATTTGCGGCTATCCCTGCACGTGACGATAAATTGTTTGGGTTTAGTTTTCGAATTCGATCTAAAACTTTATCTACGATGTCCCTACCAACGGTGTAGTGTCCTCGGACGTAGTTGTTTGTCGCGGGTCCGGATTAATTGGTCCAGATGAAGCAACTGCCTGTAGGTACCGGTACGTATAGGTACTTCGTCAATTACAGTGGGTTTTAAATCCTCGAAGACTCTCCTTGGTAGTTGTTTTCCTGTCTCACTGAAGAAGATGTTGAACTGTTGTCATGTATAACGCAGCTATTATCCAAACGACACAACTCGCCGTTGGCCCCAATACCGTGCTCCAGGCAGTACAGCTCCCAACAAACATTACCTATTTGTATACTCCACTGGCCAATATGAAATGATAACACCTCACCCTGAAATTCAAAAAGTACTTAAAAGTTAACCGCTGGTTATATTTCTCTCACCATTTTTCCGATCACTTACTATAATTTACAAAAAAAAGCCACAACTAGCTACAGAAATTTAACCCGTAGTGAATCCCTTCGAATCATGCTTCGAATCATCTGTTTGACAGTAAATAATTTTTGTTGTTATCGGCTTTCTGTGATCATTAATCTTATTAATCGATAAATAAACTGCATTCCCTTAGGGTAGGGTGGAAGAGTTGTCCGTCAGAGTAGGCGTGTCTTTTCAGCGTCGAGTTTTAAACGGATGGACCAATTACAATGAAATTTTACAGGTCAATTCTTTATCAAATTTGTAGATCGAAAATCGAATTGCCAATGTAGGCCAAAAAATAAGGAGGGCCCTTTATGAACCGAATTGCATGAAATGTTGTATGTAGGCCCCTTGAATAAAAGAAAAACTAATGCTGAATCAAAAAATGTATTTTGCGCATGCACAATCCGATTTTTTTATTTGTTAAGATCTTTAAATGAAATGTTGTATGTAGGCTCCTCGAATAAAAGTATATCATGCATATTCAAGTGATACATTTTTTCCAAAGTTCCGCAGGGGCGCGGGCCTCCGTTCAAAAACTCGACGCTAACCAAGATGCCGCGGGTCGCATCCATTGAACCTAATGTGACGTTCGGTTCTGAAGATGTCTGTAATAAAAGAGGTATTGGTGTATTAAGAGAGATCGGCTT